TATTCCCATCACTCCACTCTCCAGACTTTGTCCAAGAGTACAAGGCTAGCAACCTCACCTTTATGCAAGCTGAATTCACCAACTATGTTTCTGAAATAGCTTCACACATAAACACCAATTAAGCCTGATCTAAAATTCAAATCTTAAAGGAACGTTTGCTTTCACAATGCTAGCCTTAAAAAAAAAACTTTCAAGCCTAACTATAAACACAGCACAGCAGATGCCAGTTGGCTCAGGAAGGATTATGGTAGGTTAGGGCCAAGGTTGGTAAACAACAGCCCTCGGCCCAATCCCGCTGTTTATTTGTAAGTCAGTTTTATTGAAACACAGCCACGGCCTCTCATTTATGGCTTGGTCCTGGCTGTTTTCGAGCTAAAATGGCAGAGCTGAGTAGCAGTGACAGTGACCACAGTGCTGAAAATACTGCCTATCCAGCCCTTTACAGGAAAAGTTTACTAACCCCTGGGTTTAGAAGATCCATTGCCACAAAAAGCAAACTCTGCCCACCCACCCCACCCCCATCCTGAGGGAAAAAAAAAATCCTTAAACAGAACAACAAATATCCCAAAGGTTTAGTCACATTTTAAGTAAATGAATTCTCAAGACAGAAAATGTTACTTAGAAATTTTAAGTAACATGGTGAATACAAAAAACCAAACCAAAAATATCTGAGGTTAGAATAATTTTAAAAAATCAATTCTTTTTTATTTCACAGAGGACACCTTTGGGAAGCCCATCACTAGCTTCATTTGCTTTGCAAATCATTCATCTCTGCCATGATGATGCAACCCCCTCAGAGTTGTGTCTGATGCAGACTGTCAATTCACAACTCACTAGAATCTCAACTTTTCTGGAGAAAGGAAAAAAGCTTTCAAAGGTGCGGCTCTGTGAGCTCAGTGAGCTCAAGCACTTACCTGACATTTGGAGAGTGAGGATGCCATCGGGGCTGGCTGGGGTGGATATTAGGATGATACTGAGGCTAGAAAGAAAATACCAAACTTGATTATTTGACGACCTTTTAATTTCAATGGTCTTCATTCACTGTCTCTTTTCCTGGGGCCCAGAGGGCTGTGAATTGAAAGGCTACTACTAAACCATGGCTGGAGGGGCAGCTGCTTCCCAGGATGATCGAGTTTCCGTGGACAAAGGCTAGGAAGCTGCCCTGGGAAGGAAGGTGACAGCATCTGCCTTCAAAGGGGCCGTCCAGAGCACCCAAGACAGGCTGTATTCATCTCTCCCAAGGGAACAGGCAGAAGGTGCCAGGAAGATGGAGAGAGTGGGAGGCAATTTCTGTCTTCAGAAACAATTTTTGTCATTGCTGAAAATGACGATGACCACGTGGAACAGTTACATCTTGTACACCGACAGGGACTGGATGGGGACGCTAAGTACGGCAGCAGGGCTGTGGGTGAAAGTTTTTTTCTTTCTCCCTGGTTTAAGCAATAAAAATAATTTTCTGAAAGGTAATCCAAAACAAATGAAAACCATCCAGAGCAACTTATAACCCTGATAAAACTAGAGGGAGGGAGGGATAAGGGAAGGGAAG